TCAAGCCAGAAAACATCCTTCTGAGAGTGGATGAGGTTTATGTTCGAAAGCTCGCGGCCGACACCAAGCTGTGGCAGATGCCCACGTCTCCTGTATTCACCGGCACCTCAGGTTAGCGATGCTGTGCTAATAATTAGCCTACATATGACTCAGTTATATATTGTGTCTCGGGAAGTACCTTAACTGCTGTTCACATTTGTGCCTTTTTCCCCTCCTGATGTTTTTCCATTTGCCAGTGAACACAGTTTCCAGAGAAAAACAGGTGTGCAATATGAAATCTATTCCTCTGATATTATTATCTTATTAATACATTTTTATTCAGCTCTGATTGTATTATGACCTTTACTTTTATACTTTGACTTACTTAGAGTGCGCCCAAGTTACTCGGAAAGCTGACTGGGGTTTTCCACACTCTTGGGGAGTGGGTAAGATGGAGTTGGTGTTCTGCTTTTATACTGATGCATCTTATAAGCTCCTACATCTTTATCAAACTGTGTAACAACCGGCCTTTTGTACAAGCACACTGCACTGAGACTTCTGGATATGGGGAAAGTTACTGTTCATACTTGATTTTTATCAGCAGTTGCCTAGTTGCTGAGCAGTTGTGGCCTCTTCACCTCAGTCAGAAAATATGCTCTGCCTATTTTTGCATTTGTAACATTCATATAATCAATAATTATGGCATTCATATTGCAGCATTTTTTTCTTACTACCCACTCAGGTGTGTGTAACTTTTACAGAGAGTTTGGGCAGAGATTGGAGAGCACGTTATATGTGTTCATTCTACTGTATTTTTCTTCCTTTCTCATCCTAAAGAGATACTGGAAAGAGGCGTTTGCAATATATGCACTGCATTTATAAAAAGTAACTTTGTAAACTCCTGTACGCAGTGGAGTACAGACAAGTAAAGAGCAGGTTATCATGTATTTAGAGAGTACAGCTTCTATGGTGTATTACTTATGGTATATATTCTACAGTAGGCAACTTACTGTGACTATCAGGACTGGGCACTAAGCCATGCTGAAACAGTAAGCAGACACAACTGGTTATTTTGATGTCCTTCCAATAGCCGCTGTTGTGGTTTCACCATAGCTTGTTGTCAGCAACCGGCTCTAAATCATGTGAAAACTTTATGATTCACTGCTGAGGTATGAAATATAAAAACAATGCTAAGTATGTCCACTGTTGTCTGCGCACTAAAGTACTAATAGAATATGAAACATCACTTGTAGTTGCATTATTCTGCATTTTTGCTGGAACTCACAAAGCAGGCATGGATTTGTGATAAATCACT